CAAAAACCGCGATAGAGTGAAGCCGCGGAAGTCGAAGCGCGAAGTGGCGAGGGTTCACTGTATAGCAACCCTAAGGACATAGTCGAACTCCTCCGTGGGTTTCCAAGGCTGTAAACCTGCGTGGAAGCCGAATGTGACCACTGCGCCACCAGGACTGCTCAGAACAACAGTGGCCATTTGTCCAGTGCTGACTGTGGGCCCAGGGCAGGGCCGCATTCTCTGGGTGAGTTCTCTCGCTTCACCGCACAGCGATCTTCCAAAGTAGGAAGTATGTATACATATATATTGTTTGTTTTGTTTTTCTCAGCCAAGGTCACACAGGAAATAAGCGGCAGAGGTGGGATTCAAAGCCAGGTAGTGGCCTGGTTTTTAATGCTTCTCATAGTTAAAACTCAACTGCAAGTTCAGGTGTGATCTCTCGACCCCTGCCAGGCAGGTGCCCACATCCGTCTCTAACTCTGTGGGCCTTCAGTGAGGCTTGGAACTCAGCTCCGAGCAGCCAATCTAAGTGGGAAGGCAAAAAGCAAAGGAGAGCCCCCACTCATTCTAGTTTCCATCCTATTTTAAAAATCATAACCTGTGCAGTCATGCCCTCCAGTTGCAGGGATAATCCTATAAATGGACTAAGCTTCTTTCTATAAATATCTACCTCCTCGGCCTCCTTCCTGCTGACCCGTGTGTTTTTTTGGACATAGGTGGGTAGAGTCGCCGACTGCCGCCAACAGCGCCTTGCTTTGGTGCCCAGCAATCTCTCACCGTACGCTCAAACGCTCATCCTGGATGCCAACCCTCTCAAGATCCTATGGAACGATTCCCTGCAGCCCTACCCTCACCTGGAGAGCCTCAATCTGCACAGCTGTCACCTGGCACACATCCACCGGGGCGCCTTCCAGGGGCAAAGCCACCTGCGCAGCCTGGCTCTGGCTGACAATGCTCTCTCAGAGAACTACAGGGAGACGGCAGCGGCTTTCCACTCCCTCCCGGGTCTGCGGAGGCTGGACTTGTCGGAGAACTCCCTGACGGAAGACATGGTGGCCCTCATGCTCCAGAACCTTTCCTCGCTGGAGTCGGTCTCCCTGGCAAGGAACACCATCATGCGGCTAGACGACTCCGTCTTTGAGGGCCTGGGGCGCCTCCGGGAGCTGGATTTGCAGAGGAACTACATCTTTGAGATTGAGGGTGGTGCTTTTGATGGTTTGCCTGTGCTTAGACAGCTCAACCTGGCCTATAATAACCTGCCTTGCGTTGTGGACTTTGGCCTCACCCAGCTGCAGGTCCTCAACGTCAGCTACAATGCCCTGGAGTGGTTTCTGGCTTCGGGGGGAGAAGCCGCCTTTGAGCTGGAGACGCTGGACCTTTCCCACAACCAGCTGCTCTTTTTCCCTCTCCTGCCCCAGTGCAGCAAGCTGCACACCCTCCTGCTGCGGGACAACAACATGGGCTTCTACAAGGACCTGTACAACACCTCGTCGCCGAAGGAGATGGTGGCCCAGTTCCTCCTGGTGGATGGCAACGTGACCAACATCACCACAGTCAACCTCTGGGAAGAGTTTGCTTCCAGCGACCTCTCAGAGCTCCGCTTTCTAGACATGAGCCAGAACCAGTTCCAGTATCTGCCAGATGGCTTCCTGAGGAAAATGCCTTCTCTGTCCCACCTGAACCTCAACCAGAATTGCCTGAGGCGGCTCCACATCCGGGAGCACGAGCCCCCAGGAGTGCTCACCGAGCTGGACCTGAGCCAGAACCAGCTGTCCGAGCTGCAGTGGGCTCCGGAGCTCCGGGGCTGCCTACGGAGTCTCCAGGTATTCAACCTGAGCTCCAACCAGCTCCTGGGGGTCCCGCCTGGCCTTCTGGCTGACGCCAGTAACATCACTACAATTGACGTGAGCCACAACCAGATCACACTCTGTCCCCCGCCAGGTCACCCGGGCCCTGCGGGCACCGCCAGCTGTGTCGATTTCAGGAATATGGCATCTTTGAGGAGCCTCTCTTTGGAGGGCTGTGGGTTGGGCACCCTACAAGACTGTTCATTCCAGGGGACCTCTCTCACTCACTTAGATCTGTCCAGTAACTGGGGGGTTCTGAATGCCAGTCTCGCCCCTCTCCAGGACATTGCCCCCACATTACAGGCCCTGTCTCTCAGGGACGTGGGCCTTCGTTCCAGCTTCACAGAGCTGGACTTCTCTGCATTTGGGAAGCTGAGGGACTTGGATCTGTCAGGAAATGCCTTGACTCGGTTCCCCAGGTTTGGAGGCAGCCTGGCCCTGCAGAGCCTGGATCTCCGCAGGAACTCCCTCACAGCCCTTCCGCAGAGGGCTGCGACCGAGCAGCTTGTGAGGAGCCTGCGGACCCTCTACCTCAGTCAGAATCCCTATGACTGCTGCGGGGTGGAGGGCTGGAAGGCCCTGCAGCGCCTGCAGACTCCGCGCATCCCCGACTTGGCCATGGTCACCTGCAACCTGTCCTCCAAGATAATCCGCCTGGTGGACCTGCCCCGAGAGGTGCCCCAGGACTGTCAGTGGGCGCAGGTGGACATGGGCCTGCTGTATCTCGTGCTCATTCTCCCCAGCTGCCTCACCCTGCTGGTGGCCTGTACCGTCATCTTCCTCACTTTTAAGAAGCCTCTGCTTCAGGTCATCAAGAGCCGCTGCCACTGGTCCTCCATATACTGACCCTGGCCGCCTGCCTGCGCTTGTAAGACAAGCTCTTCGGCTGCGTGTCAGGACCCAGCGCAGAGGCCAACTCTGATGAACTAGAGGTTCAAAGTCTTTCCCTCTCTCAGTCCTTCTCAGTTCTTCCTTCATCATCCTCATTCATCAGCATCACCATCCTGGTACACTATTTATTAAGTAACATTCGATGAAAATAAAAGACAGGGCGTCTCAAATATTTTTCTAATCAAATGAGGCTTGTGTTTCATCTCCTTTTATTTCCCACCCCCACCCCCTCGAGTTCTTGGCTAGTTTCCCTTGAATGATTCCCCAGTAGCCTTCTCTTGGTGAGTCCGTGGAGCTAGGGAGAAAGGGCAGGGATCGCTTTCGGTGGGTGGTGAGCGTCAGTGCCCCCTGAGGTCCCTCAAGAACAGGAAGAGGGACCTGCATGAGATGGGAGCCCTTGGCTCCTGCCTCGTTTGGCTTCCAATGTCACTGCTGCCAGAGTGGGTGGTGGCAAGTCCCGGTCCAGGGCCCACGATTCACAGTTGGAGTCTCTGGAATAGAGACAAACAATCCGAACTTTTGTGGGAAAGTTCAGCGAGCAATAAATGGCTCCCGGAGTATCTCTGCAGTGCATGGAACACCGGGCACAGCCCTCGTGCTGAGGGAAAGTGAGGACGGACGCAGAAAGGAACGGGTTCGGCTGACTTGTGGACCGTGCCCACTCTTCACCAAAAAATCACAAACGGCTTCTTAGCAGATGTTCAGACTCTGTGTGTACCTCATGCCTAGTTTCCTTTCGCCTGCCCTTCCTTCAAAAAAACAGCCAACAGTTTCTGAGCTCCTTTCCAGCCAGAAGAAAACAACGAAGACACCCCCACCCCTGCCCTGTTGGTAGCTTAGAGTTTACACTGTCTTGTGCTCCGTAGAAGGGGCCTGGTGGTGCAGTGGTCACACGGCGGGCTGCGGTCCACATGGTCAGCAGTACAACGCCAGCAGCAACTCCTCAGGAGAAAGGCTGAGCTTTCCATAGTTACGGGGGCTGAAACTCAAAGGCGGTGCCTACGAGTCAGCATTGACTCCAGGGCCGGGAGCTTGGTTTGATCTTGTGCTGTGTATCTTTGCTTATGAGGTCATAAAGGGGCTATAGGTACTGATGTGGACTGAACCAAAATTCAAAACCACACTCAAGCCACTCGGTCGCTCTGCCTCATAGCCAGCCGATAGGGCAGAGTAGAATTGCTCCTGTGGGTTTCTGGGGCTGTGAATCCTTATGGGACCAGAAAACCTCATCTTTCTCCCTCAGAGAAGCTAGTGGTTTCAAACTGTTGACCCTGTAGTTAGCAACCCAACACGAGTGTAACTCACTACATCACCAGGGCTGAGAGAAAAAGGAGACTGAAAATCAAATAGAAACAAATTCTGAGTATAAAGGAATCACTTGACTGATGATTATCATGTTGGCTAAATGTCGGCAAAAATATTTAGGCAAGTAAAAGATCAAATCAATGATCTTAAGCAAAGCAAAATTTCCCTTGGGTGCCCTAGAAGAGTATAAACAAGGCCTTGCAGTGAGGTTTCACATGCAATCCCACGAGTGTCTGTCCATGTCCAGGGTTGCCCGTATGGTGTCGCCATTGTTTCCCTTCAGCATATCTCTTTTCATCCTGCCTTGTCCCAGCCCGGTGCCTTGGGCGTCCCTCAGGTGACCTTAAAGCCTCTGTCCACAGACTAAAGCTCCAACAACAACTCTTTCCACGGGGTCCGCCTTTTCCCACAGTGACAACTCGCTGATTAGACAAGTGGATCTATCTGTGCCTGGTGCTCTGATGGTTTCTCTTGGGTTAACGTATCACCCCTTGAGTCAGTCAGTCTTCTCAGTTGCTTGCAATTAAAGATGATTCTACCCAATTTAAGCAGCATGAAGGCTAATCAAGAGAGTGTTGGAAAGCTCAGAGTCTCTCAGGACATGAGCATGGACAGAGGGGCGCATGCCACGTCGAGACTGCAGACCAAATCCTTCTTTGACCAACAGTTGTGAGAACATGTCTTCCGGGACCTCTTAGCACGGAGTGCCCTGCTGTACTGCGGCCACTGATAGCCCTGGGCAGGGAAAGAAATGTTCTCTCAAGTCTGCTATTGTGTGCCGTTAGCCCCTGGCACACAGTCTGGAGCAGGGCACCTGGTTACCTGACCCTGGCTACCAGAGAGTCGGAGACCTCAAATATTGTCCCTGTGGGTGAGGCGTCTCTATTAGATGGTAGGCTGCTTCCTAACAACACATGTAAACTGTGACGTGCTCAGCGCAAAGGATGTTGTGCAGGCGGGAAGGGATGAAAACAGAGCACCCTCCTATTTTCGACAGCACGTCCGTTTTATTTATTTATTTTTAGCAGCGCCCTTCTTACTAGTAGAGGCAGAGTTGTCAGTGATAGTGGAAGCAGTTATCTGGGCTGTGGTGACAAAGTAAGCTATGCATTGAGCTGCTAATCAGAAGGTCAGTAGTTCAAAACCATCAGCCCCTCCAGTGGGCCCCTTCAGGATTCTTATTCCCATGGTCAGTCCTGCCCTGTCTTAATAGGTTCACTGAAAGTCAGAATTAACTCAATTGCAGTGAGATTGGTCTCAATTTTGTTTGTTTTAAACTTTGGTTTTTAAAAGCAGACTTGAGAACTAAGGTAAGCAATTCATTCTTAGGATTGTGTTTCTCTAGCACCACAGCTGGTACCAAATGTCTTAGGCGAGGTTATCTAGAGAAGCAAAACTAGTGAAGTTTATATTTTATCTCCTACAGAGAAGCTGGTAGATTTGAACTGACAAACTTACAGCCAACAGTCCAACAGTTGCTAAAAGAGTTCCTTTGTAAATACATTTTTAAAAAAAATCACCATCATTGGGTCGACTCCACTTTATAGCGACACTCAGAACTGCCTCTCTGTGTTTCTGAGACTAACTCTTTATGAGAGTAGAAAGCCTCATCTTTTTCCTTCGGAGCAACTGGTGGTTTCAAACTGCTGACCTTGTGGGTAGCAGCCCAACATGCAACCACTATGCCATTGGAGCTCCTTTGTGTATGTACAGAGAGGTTTATATCAAGGAAATGGCTCACCAGTTGTAGAGGTGATCAAACTTCAAGTCATTAGGTTGGAGACTTCTAATATGTAGATATAGGGTCTGGTGAACCCAAGATCAGGTGAGATGGCATGCTGTGGCTGCAGAGGTAAAGGAACTCAAGGTCTGCAGGTAAGATGGCAGGCTGCTGAACACTCCTAGGATGGGCAGGCAATACATCAGGCTGCCGGTTAAAGTCCAAAGAGCCAGAGGTCAGATGACAAAGAAAATGCAGGATCCAGACTCAACAAAAAGCAGCACCATGTACATTTACAAAGATTTCTTAAGAAGCAAATTTTTGCATAAAGGAGTATCTTGACTGATGGAAACTTCAGACAGAATCTCAGGTCAATAATGGAGGTGGTTGGAGCCCAGACAAACCTTTCGAAGTCTCTCAAGTCTTATAATGTAGCTGACTATTCACTCTACCTAGTCCTAGGACCCAGCCTTCAGGATGGCTAATTGAGAAAAAGAGGTTAGGACAGAGCCCTAACTGTTCCATGGCAACAACTTCAGAGGGCTGAGACTTTTCTATGTAGTTCTTCTATCACTAGGATCTAAAGGTTATTTCCTAGGTTTATTGTAGCATGGTCCAGGACTGAGAAGAATGAGCAGGACAGCTGGATTTCTGCCTCCAGTCCTGGACTCTGGTTTCTATAGGAAAGTCTCAATTCGCCCACCACTCCCTACCTTGACTTGCATCAAAAAGGGCACACACACTAATGTCAGCTCAAAGACTTTTAAGAGAGTGAAGCACCCACATAGCCTGTTACCAGAATTCCCTGGTAGAACCAGTGTGGTTGTTAGCATAATGCCATGCACACGCTGAGAAAAAATGGATATCTACCTGCAGAAAAATGGAGCAAGACCCTTATCTCACTCCATGCACAAGAATAAACTCAAGATGGATCACAGACCTCAAAATAAAACCCCAAACTATTAGGGCCATCAATGAGGGAATTGGGACAAACCTGAGAACATTGACTCAGGGAATACATAGGCTATCAGAAATAGGGAAGGACACAAATACAGATGAGTCACAAATTGACAAGTAGGATATTCTGAAGATAGAACACCTGTGTACATCGAAAGACTTCACCAAGAGAGTAATAAGAGAGCCCACAGACTGGGAAAGCATCTTTAGCAATGACATATCAGACAAAGACCTTGTGTTAGTCTGGAAACAAATCCACAGAAACTCATGTATAAGAGAGAGTTTTATGTAAAGGTTAAGTGAGCATCAAGAAAACATCCCAACCCAGTGCTGCCCAAGCCCACAAGTCCAATGTTAACCCATTAACCCATATGTCCAACACCAATCCACAAAGTCCTCC